GGTAGCGAGCTCTTGATAAAACTCCCAGCAGTAATATGTCTGCTTTCCTATGTCAGCCTTCTATTCTGACCTCTTGCTGAGGAAAGGAGAGGACTTTCCTTGGCTGGCTTGCCCTCTGTCATCAAGAAACCAATTTCTGCCACCTGGTTTGATGGCTGTGGGCCCAGGATAGATTACCATCTTCACTCTCTCTGCCCGTCTCTCTCTCTCCCCTCTTGGAAGTCTTCTTTGGATCATCTTCCCCCCAGCTTTACCCTCCTTAATTAAAAAAATATACACACACACCACCAACAAAGCCCTCTATTCTGACACATCGTATGTTCCAGACTACACATACATCCTCCATGCTAATTCTTTAGGGGTTAATAGGTTTGCTTGCAAAATTTCACTCCCTCTCCTCACACTTGTCTTTCCTGCTTTACCATATGTGTCCTAAAATCTGCCTTTCAGTTTAGAGCTTGTTAATTTTCCACATAAAAATGTAGCTTTGAAAGCTCCATCATCACAACATCCTGCACTTAAATCGTCTGAATATTGGAGAGCATAAAGGAAACTTTGCCTATTTTCTCTGCCTGCGGTGATGTGGTAGGAATGCAATACACTTCTCATGGACAATTAGGGCATGCATCCCTTAGCTCCAATGTAAATCAAATTACGTGCTCAGGTACTGGATTACTTGCCTTGTAGTAGTTGTACTCTTCATGGGATCCAGTAAACAGTGTATAGGTCAATTATAGGTCTAGAAGGCCTTCGTTGTTGAGCAATGTTTTGGATGGGTTGATATGTGTCAAAATCTATTATATCAAAGATTTTTTTGTGAATGGTGAAATAAGATCATAAAAGTTTTGACTCTGAAGCCACTGAAGTCAACTCTTTATTTTCCTCTGAGTTCAGAGTTAAAATGAAATATGTGTAGATGAGCACAGACTATATTGTTAGGAAATGTTTGCTTCTTATTCTGTGACTTCTGAGGCTAAACCAAACCCTGTATGATTCTTGCACTTTTTGCTTAATGCTCCAGACGTCTAGTTTCTTCTTCATATAATTCTTTCCCTTTACAACGCAAAAAGCATTCAGCTGTAAGAGCTATATCTAGTACACAGTACCTAAACGCCAACCTGCTAGAACCTGCTTATTTTCTGATTTGTCCGAGATACAGAATACATCCAGATACAAGATAACACATTTCTACAAGCAACAGCAGGTATACTAATGTGCAACAAAACCACTAGTAAGAATAATGAATCCCATAAGGATGCTTCTAAAGCTTCATATTTTAAAAAAGTATACTTACTTTTTTTTTTTTTTTGAAGCAATCCAAGTAATTTTATCAATATGGTAAATCAGCACTGATTTTTCTTTGACTGGTACAGGCATGTGCATGAGCAGTTTCTTGTAAGTTATGCCAAAAATATGCCGGTCTGCATTGTCAGTGTGTGGATGTAAATAATGCAATATCCCTCATTTCAATTTACTTTTCTGGCTTTATTTTTTCTTAAAATATTGAATTGTGTGCATTTGTCTTTTTTTGTGTGTGTGTGTGTGTGTGGAATTGCAATAAACCAATATTCTTTTGTTGCAGCACATCACTGAATGAGATGGACTGGCTATATTTTTTGTTAGCTACTGGCCTTGAGAAGAGAGGTAGGAGCAGGGCCACCGAAGGCAGTGAGAATATACAGCATCAGTGAGGACTGAGTCATTATTGCTTTCTTTCAGATAGAATAGAGGACAGAAACAATTTTTCCTGAGGAAGCCAAACCACTGTCTAAAGTATTTCTGCATAGTTACTTAGAAAGTGTCACAGGCCTCCAGGTTGCACTCTGAAATACTCACATGAAAGCCAGCTCCGTGAATTACATCAGCCCAACCTTGTGCACAAGCTGGTAAACTCTACTGAGGGGTGAAATATAGGATTTTTTGTTCGGCCTTGTGCTAATTTGGTTAGCTTCACAGCTCCAGCTGGTGCTAAGCCAGCTGGTTCAGTGCATGGCCAGAGTGAGCAAGCGGCTATCTACATCTTGTAAAGTAGATGGGCCCTTCTTTAATGAGAAAGGCAAACAGGAGTCTGCACTGTTGGGGGCGTGAGGTTCAGGGTTTTTTTTTGTAATCTTTCTGGCATTGAAAATTGGAACGAGCTTTTTGTGTATATTCAAGCATCAAGAATAAGAAAAGCTGTGGGTTATGTCCTCTACATATCTCTTTTAATGTCATACCTATTGTGTTACGCCAACTTCTACAGGCTGAAGACTTGGAATGTAAGTGATTGATTCAAATTACAAAATAAACAGGGGGGGGGAAGTTGGTGAAAACTGATGTTATTTAGGGAAGGGCATCCTTAAAATTGTGTCGCAGTGGGATGTTGGAGACACAAGCATCTGCTATGTGGACAAATTTAGTTATAAAACCCGGTTCCCTTATAGTCAGTGGAGCACGCCTATCAAATCTGGGCCTTAGCTCACTTGCTTTCCTGGAGGATTTTCATCTTGTTGGAGCAGAACTGGAATTTTGACAGAGATGCTTGATTAGTACAAATGGAGCATTCCTATCAAATGCAGGCAACTAACGAATCCATGGGTAAGCTCCATTAATTTCAATACAGTGCTAAATGTGTTAAATGTTATGAGAGAGAGGTTGCTGCATATGTGCACTTACCAATTTTCTTAATGCTAAATTCTAGCTGATTTTAAGTTCTTTTTTTAGATTCCATAAAGCATGAGTATAGTCAATGATTTCATATTTAGAAGGGTGAATAAGCATCTGTTCTGTTGTACAAAAACAGGAAAAATAATCTGAAAATATTTTTTTGTAGGATCTCCCATTCAAAAGTGGCTTCATTTAGTGCCGTCATATTCAGATAAATTGTTTCACACACAATTCTTTGCCAATTTTTATCACAGAACAAATTTTGCTTTTATACTAATCCCCTTCACCCCCCCAAAACAAGATTTCTGTTATATAAGAAAACAACAACAAACAGCCCAAACAGCAATACCATAAACAGGATGGTATAATTTGCGTTCTTATTTTACAATGCATCATTTCCATGTATTTCCATGAGTCATGTCACATCAACAAACACTAAACTAACTCCAGCTATTTTGCAAATGACTGTCACTGATAAATTTGATCCATGGAGTTTTAGGAAACGTAAGTTTCAACACAGGCTAAGCAGGTCACAAGCCAAGGAGAAGCATGTAGGAGAGTTAAAACTGGCCATTCCTCCTCCTCTTAGCACCCTTGTGAGGGACACAAATGATTTGCACAGCATGTAATTCCATTTACATTCAGTTAAAGCAAGTTATCTTGTCCTTCTTGTATCCACACTTTCATATACTCCACCTCCATCTTTCTGCTCTCCCTACAGGGACTTCCATCAACATAGTGGTTGATAGGAAATCAAATCCTGCTTTACAATAAGGGAATACAAGCAGATGTCAGTTGAGTCTTCTTTTAATCTCTATTGCTTGCACTTTGTCTTTCTTTGGGGATTATCTCCATTGCAAGACAATCACCTTGGTTGAGAAAAGAAGGGCTAGAGATTCCTTACAACACTTGCACTGCTCAGTGTATATACATCAACATATATAACGAATCACAGAAAAGCTATGGGTTTGCCTAGTAATGTCTTGAAAACATCTAAGTCTGGAGATTCTTCCACCCATCTGGTGAACCTGGTGTACACTGGCTTCTTAGAGAAGAAGTTTTTCCTGTTGTCCAGTTTGAACACCCCAGGCTGCGGTTGTTGGCTGTTGTGCCTGGTTATACCCTCTGAAGAGTTTCTCACCAGTTTTTGTAACTCCCCTTCGGGCAGTGGTGTGCTGCAATGAGATCTCTCCCTGCTTTTTAATCTACTCTTTGTTGCATGAAACAAATCCAACCTCAATCCTCAACCTTTCCTTCAAGTTACCTGCTTTGGGCTCCATCTACCACAGTGGTCTGCCACAGACTCCTGTCCTGCTTCTCAGTAGCCTTCTTGAACTGTGGAGGGGCAAACAGGACGCATCATTCCAGCTGCTGTCTTACCAGCACTGCGTAGAAGGGGTAATAACTTTTCTTGATCTGCTGGCCATACGCTTAATGTAGCCAGTATGAGATTTTCTTTATCTGTGATCAGAGAGTATGCTGTTGGCTCATTTTCAGCTTGGCACTGACCATCACCTCCAGGTCCTTTTCGGCAGGGCAAAACGTCTATAAAGATTGCTGCGTCCTTGGGGGGCGGGGGTGGCAATGCAATCTTTAAAACCAGCAGTAACTGCTTCCTCCTTTCCCATTTCAATAAAGAAAAGAAACCGCTTGACACCTGTTTGCGAGTACTGGTTGTAAAGAATGGTACTGCTGAAAGGGGTAAACAACTGAAATCTGTTATTTCAAGGTATCTCCAGGTGTAGCAGAGTCCTTAAAATCAAGCGACTCCTAAATTTTATAACCATTAGTAAAAATAACTTCTTGACTACGTAGTATTAAATCACAAGCTTTCCAAGAATATTTTCCCAAAACATTCAAATGCAAAGTTAAACTAGCAAGGAGACTGTCATCACTGCTGATGCACCGAGTCCTGTATCTGTCTACATATTGTTACAATAAAAATAAATAGAGCACATAAACCAAGCATTTTATTTTTTTGACGTTGATTATAAGAAAAAGGTCACTTTTAAACTTTTTTTTAGAACCATCCCTCAGTGGGTTGCCTGTTACGTATGAGTCTTTTTGCTGAAAGGAAATTGAAAAAAACAAAACAAAACTGTAAACAGAAAATGAAACCTCTTTTGACATAAGTGAAATTTTGTTCAATATTGACTATTATTAGCCGTTAGATGATAAGTAGGCAGATTGGATAGATATTTCTTGAAATCCTGCATAGTATGGAGAACATGCTTTCATTGTGCTTCCTGGCATTATAAGATAATACGCCTTATTTGGAAATATAATGATCAGTTCTGTTAAATCATGTTCAATCAGCTTATATAATAACACCTATATTTTGTTATTCATTTCAGATTTCAGAGACCTATGCCTTCCTACCGAGAGAAGCGGTGACACGATTTCTAATGAGCTGCTCAGAGTGCCAGAAAAGAATGCATTTAAACCCAGATGGAGCGGATCATAAAGGTAGTTTTAGTGTCAAATGGTGGGATGTAAAGTCATTTTATTCCTTGTACCCATTTGTATTTTCCTAGCTTAACTGAGGGTTCATAAAAATTTGGTAGACTGCAACAGTTCAATAAGTCGGATCATCTCATTTCCTGAATGTGGAAGGTAGTGAATTTTCTGCTTTTGCTTAAGGATGGAGTGTAATACCATATGCACACCTAACAGAAATATGATTTTATCTGGAGGAAATAATTTATTTTGCTATGGAAATGTTTATATGGGGGCTTAAACATAAAGAATAGATAGTGTGCATGTGCTGTAGTCATTTAGGGTAGAAGAACTCATCACGTCTCAGGGTTTGAACTTGATTTTCATTTTTCTTTGGGAGACTCCCATCTGTACAGCCTACAAGCAATTGAAAATGCCAAAGTTAGAACTAAATGACATAGCTGTCAGACTTTGACTGCAGAGTAAACTCAAGTAGCCTCCACAATTAACACGTAATGCATAATGAATATTTTTATTGCAGATAATGGGAAACCTCCAACTTTGGTGACCAGTATGATTGATTACAACATGCCAATTACTATGGCTTATATGAAACACATGAAGCTGCAGCTACTAAATTCACAGCAAGATGAGGTAAAACCTGAAGTCTTTTGTTTTTCTGTCTCCTGTGTTCTTTGGTGCTTGTCTTTGCAGTAGCCAGGAAGCTGAACTGAAGACAATCGTTGATCCCATCTTTGTAATTTCATTGCTAAAATAGTGCGTCTGAAACTAAACCAAAGCTGTTTGCAAGTAATCAGCTTGAGAAAAAAATCTCATGACTTACCACCCTGCCATGGTTGGGGGTAAAATGCTGTATTGCTTCAAGCTACTTGAGGTGCCCTTTTACTATCTGGACCAGCAGAAAGGGTAACGGGGGGCAGCATATTCACCTGAGACTTAGTGCTGTGCTCAGCAGTGACTTTCATTGTCTACTTCTAGAAAGCAGTACCATCAACAGCTGAAATGAATGGCATGGTGTTCTCAAGGTTAGCAACCAGGATGCAACACATTTTAGTGAGAGATGGAAGCCCTGGCAACACCAGTTGAAATCTTGAATGCAAGAAGCTTGATAAATAAGAGTAGAGGTTGCTTTTGAAACTTTGCATAAAAAACAGAAAAAAAAAAAAAGGAAGAAAAGTAGGCTGAGAATCACGCTTCTCCAGAGAGAATTGGACTTGAGTTGAATTGTATTTATTTCTTCTCGACAATTATTTTCTTTCTGTGATTTATTCAGAGTTTTCCCAGATCTTAAGAAGTACTTCATCAATTGGATGGCAGCTAACAAATTATTTGTAATGAATTCATTTTGCTAGAAATGTGTTCATTTACCATTTGAGCTGCCAAATAGTTAGAAGCCCGGCTATGTATTAGCCAAAAAGCAGTCCTGCATGCTGTGTCCTTCTGCCTGACTACAAGATATTTTTCAATAAAGAAAACCTTGAAAAACAGCCTTAGCAACTGGATTATGTCAAAGACCCTGACTGACTCCTGACTTCTGTGGAATCAGTCAGATGTGGCTTCATAATAAGTGGATATGGGGTATTGGTGGAGATTTATGAATTATTCAACACCCCATAGAATGGGGATTTCATCACTGTTCTAGAAATATCAGGATCCTTGTTTCGCTTTTGCCTTTTTTTTTTAATTGTGGAGGGTGTGGGGAGAGACCCCTGACTCAGAGTGCTCCGTGCACAAATACAACCTGGTCATCTTTCCCTCCTATTGAGTCTCCCCTCTGGGTGCTGCCCTGTGGGCTGTACATTTGTTGCACTGAGAACAAAAGGGCAATGAAAATGGTGTAGTACAAAGCAGGAAGATTTTTGGTGCATACATTCAAACTATTTAATGCACTTCAAAAACATACTTGGGTCTGTAGGAAGGCTCTGTTTCCAAGGTTTCATCAATCATATCTGTATTCTTGTGGAGGGGGTGGAATTGAGGCAGGAGTAAACTTGGATCCCACAACTAGCTAGCACAGTGACTGAAAGCCTCCTAATTCTCTCATCCTCAGTTGATCATTTTTAAGCTGAGCCCATCGATGAAGGGGAAACAGGCTTCATCTAAAAGAACTCATCACTGTGTGGGAATTTACAGCTGTGCAGCAACTGGTACAAGGATGCCAGCGGCTCCCAGCTCCTCTCCACATGCCGATGTGTCCACGCAGATTCAGATAAATGTTTACACAGTTTGAGGAGTGAGGTGGAGATACTCCACAGAGTGCTGTAGGCAACCACAGGCTGCCCATGTGTGTTGTTTTATACCTATGCAAGCATTAGATAGTCAGAGCTTCCTTTCTGGGAATCCATACAGATTGCCTAACCTCAGAATTGGAAAATGTAAGCTACTGCTTGCTGGTTCCTGCAGGATTCAATGAGAAATACCACTGTGCCTTAACAGAGGCACAGCCTTCCAGAAGGTCTGGGGGAGTCTGTGTTCTGATATTGTTCTTTGAACAAGCAGCGTACGTTTCCATAAACCTCAGAACCAGCTCGACATGTGCCTCAGCCCTGTCTATCTGGGGCAGGAGGCTAGTGGGCACCACAGTTCTTGTGTGAGGGCAGCATTTGGGGACGTGCTGCTGCTGTAACAGGGGTGCTCCCACCTTATCTGAGCAAGGCAGACAGGTGCCCTCTAGAGAAGCTCTCACTCTTCCATTTAGTCTTTTACAAAACTTTGAAAACAAGGTATGTTTGTTTCATTATTTGTTGTTGTCCTGGTGTGATGGTGCAGAACAGAATCACCTTTTCATGTTGTCCCACTCTCACTCCTGAATGGCATTTGGCAGTACTTCATCCCAGTTTAACAAGAGCCATGACTGCAGGGAACTTGCCTTACAAAAATTAGAGAAACGGCCATGAAAGCTGGAAACATCACTGAGATCCAAGAGAGGAGTAGATTTAAGAGCCAAGCACTCAGAAAGAAGAAAGCAGCTATATTAGTATCTGTAGAAACCAGTTCACAACAAGTATACAGTAAATAATACTCTAAAGATTGCCATTTTTCTAGGTCAATTCTGGTGAGCAACCCAGAAAAATAGTCAGAATCTTGTTAGCTGTGTTTTTGTTAAAAAAAAAATAAAAATAATTGGACAAATATTTTAAACTGATCTTCAGGGGATACAAGATTATTTGCCATATTTTTCTCTATGTTCTTTAGAATGCTTTTCTTCATAACAGGAGTAATTATCTCAGAAAAGTTGTTACTGAAAATACATCACCTTAGGCTTGTATGTTGCCTCAGTAGCTTACAGAGCAAGACTTGTGGATGCTTAATTTTTAATCCATGAGTGGGCCCATGAACTTCAGTGGGACTGAAACAAGTGATGTTAGTCATGTATTTGAACATTTGCTGAACTAGGTCCAAAACTGTTTTGCTTTTAAAATGGGGACAAAATATTTCATTGGGACTTTTACTTTTTGCCCTCTGCTATCATCCCTAGTAGGTGCTCTGTAATTAGACTTGACAGATAAATCATATTAAAGATGTATAAGGCAGAATAAATTTGAAAGTGATTCTCATGTGATTCTGTTACTTTGGTTTGCCATTGACTGTCATTTGAACATGCTCAGAAGTTTTATAAGCTTTATCATTTTCAGAGATGCTTCTTTAAACACCATAGCAGTGTAAGGGTGACATTGTGTCCAGGGAATGTCGTGGGTTCTTTTTAGGTCAAGTCGTCATTTGGAAATATCTTACTGTGAGTGGTCATAACAGTGTTACTGACCTCACTTGGGCAAGGTAGAAGATTCAGGCAGGGAATGTGAAGAGCTCTCCTCAACCAAATTTGAATAACAAGGACATGGTATGGGGTCTCTAGTTACTTGCCCTCTTTTTGCAAAATACTATGGAAACAGAGAGTGCGGTAATGGAGTATCCTCATAGTTGAACAAATTGCATTTGTCAGATTATCATATCACATAAATGCTGTGTTTTCCTTGCTGTTCTTTATGTGCTCTACTTGTTTGCTTATATACACAAAGATTTAGCATGATTATACTCCACATCAGGTGTGAGTGAAACAAACGGGAACGAGTGAACTGCACATATAACGTGAACAGTGTACGATGTTTTCTGACACGTCTCCGAAACTTTCCATTTGCAGGATGAAAGCTCTATTGAAAGTGATGAGTTTGATATGAGTGACTCGACTAGGATGTCAGCTGTGAACTCTGACCTCAGCTCAAATCTGGAAGAGAGAATGCAAAGTCCTCAGAACCTCCAGGGCCAGCAGGATGGTAAGGCTCTCGTTTCATACAGAAAATGCGGTATTGCCTTGTCTTTTTCCCATTCTGTGCCTTCATTTAGTACCTGCTGTGTCCTTTTCTTCATAGTGTGTTTCATTAGGTAATTTGAAATGTACGTTCCCTATGTCTCAGCATGAAGAGGATGAAGTTGGGTTTTTTTTTTGCAGGTTAATTTATTTGTTGCTTAGGCAACAGGTGAGTGCTTAGACCACTATATGTTAAGTATTATTATTTTTCTATTTTTATATATGTAGTGTGACCATGCACAGGCATAAAAGGAAATGAAACTCAAACCTTTCTGAGGCAAGCCAGAAGGCTAAGAAAGTTGTTTTTACTGGTTGAAATGAGGGCCAGGGGTGTGACAGAAGCATGGTTATTTGAGAGCTGGGAAATGGGATGTGATATTCAGAAGAAAGGATGAAAAAGACAAACTCCAATAGGGAAATAGAGGTAAAAGAAGAGAAAACAGAAGAAGCAGCATTGTAAATTTGAATGTTAATTATTCCTAGGTTAGTTACAACACAAAGCTAATTTGTTGGTGAGAGAGATAGAAGCCCTACTTTGCATAGAAGATGCATAGATGTGTACTCTTTGATTTCAGCCCTTGCTATAGAACAAGTTAGGTGGGCCTGGTTTGGAATTAACTTTCTCCTTGGCTACAGAGCTCACAAAGAGCCTGTCCACCACAGACTGCGACAGTGGCTCATGAGTGACACGTGAATGTGCAACACCCAAAGTGCAGGTCTATTCTATTGCTATTAGAAACAACACATTGGTATTCTGCACTTCTTACTCCATAATTTCCCGATCACATGTGCCAGTTCAGAAGTGCTTCTTATATTTCTCCTGAACACAAAATATATGGGATTTGACAGTTAAGCTGGATTCTTTCCACTTTGTGCAACATGGTTAATTGCTATCTGGTAAGCTATTTAGGTGAGAATCGGTGTGCTGCATAGTGGCTGATGGGATCTGGTCATGGGTGCGACCTTCTGCTGTGTTGCTCTCTGAACGAATAAAGGAGGAGGATGTCTCTGATAATTTGGTTGGCCCGATTCTAACCACAGCTGCCTTTTGTCTGAGTGTCCTCAAGCTATTACAAAATTTGTGCAACTTTTGACTTAATTTCTATCTATGTACATTCACTAAAGGAGCAGTTCTGATGAACAAGGTGTAGGTAGGGAAAGCCAGTTCACTTTCCTGTTGAAGTTTGGCTTTTCAGGGCTAATATATTGTAATAATACTACTAAATTAGCGTTTTCAGGGATAACTTGGAAGGTGCCATTTTAATGTATACAGCTTTCAGTGCAAAACTGTGCTTTTAGAGGTTTTTGCTTACCTATATACTCAATCTGTTTCACATATATAGACTGTTTCTTAATAGTAATTGCGTGCATGTATGTCTGAAATAAAAATTAGAGCTCAGTGCAGTAACCTGTGAGGAAATGCCTGTCATACATGTCTTAATACCTACCGCAACCAGATTCATGTGCCACATCTAATCATATTAGAACATAAGTACAAATGATAAAATGCTGCAAATCTGTCGCTTGTTATTTAAAATGTATGGGAAATAAATGCACCGTGGTCTTTGAACTGCAGGTAGTGTGATCTTACAGAATTGCTTTAAATCTCTCAGCTTTCCTTGCCTTCCACCCAGATGGCACTTGCTCACCTTCCTAAGGCAATCCTATTTTTTGCTGCATCTTCTGGCGAAAGCATCTGCTGATAGAGAAATTTGAAATAGCAACTCTTCCTGCTTCATGGTTTTCCTATGCTAGCTGTTGTCAGGTGGCAAACCTGAGTGTGGCTAGTTATAGCAACACTGCTTTTTCAGATATGGGAGAAGAGGCTGAAGGAGGAAGTGAGAGACATTAGGGAAGGAGAGGGCAGGAAAAAAGATGATTGGAAGAAAATAACGAACACAGGGATAGAGGGATGGAAGCGGGAACAGGAAGAAGGGAAGACAAAAGGGAACTTAAATGAACTTAGCCATAGAATCCCTTTTGCCATCACAGCCCTCACTGTAAAATTTTACAAATTTAATACTTAATTGTTGCACATGCACACCAAAATCATCACCAAAGCGTGAATTTGTGTGTCCAAAGCAATTCCTGCCCCCTTCCCTCAAACATTCTGTATGTCCATGAGAGTTTATGTCAGCCACCACGTTCAGTCTACAGATCAAGACACTTGGCATTTGGCTCATCTGAAATGTCTTTGCTGCGTTCTGGCAGGTGAAAACTTACTGCTGCATAAGGTTGCCTGTGCACACGTGGTTGGGAATGGTGTCTGTGGTTGTCATGGTGCAATGGGACAGCAGTGGTCTGCTGCTGCCCCAAGCATGCCCTCGTTAGGAGAATGATTTGCTAATGGGAATCATTAGGAAAACTGCTGCCTAGGGTGGATGAGTGACAGCTCCAGTGTACCCAAAGGTGATGTATTCTATCTCTTTGCTTACCTGGCTTTCTGTGTGAGGTGGCATGAGAATATTTTGGGACATCTGATGTTTTTTCCATAGATTTCAACCAATTTGGTACTATGATATAAACAGAGTCTGTGTACGCTAGAGCAATGTAAGAGTGAGCTGGGCCATGCCACTGAGGAATAGATGGAGGTGGTTCTTCCAGTTCAGTTTATCAGAGCATAGAGGAATGCTGACACTATATACGTAAAAGCAATAAGATGCTTTTATACCCTCTTCCCTTGGAGGTATATCTCCATCATACTTAGACAGGCATTTGGCTTTGGGACTCCATTGCAGAGCTCATACTAGAAAACTTGACCTGAGGTTTCTCAATGTCTTCGAGTCTAGTACTCCGTGTTTTCTGTTTCTCATGATCAAGTTGTTTGAACCTAAATAGAATAAAGGTGAATATCAGAGCAACCCATGTTATCAGCTGAAAGCAATAGACTTCTTCACCCAGAAATGTCATGGTAGGTAGGAAAAATGCTGAGAAGGAGGGCACAGAGAAGGAAAGTGTGTGGACACTTGCAGTAGATGGGTGCTGGTACTGCACAGAAGTCCTGGGCTCTGCAAATGTACTGAGGCTTCGTGAGATTCCTTGTGTAAAGCATATTAGGTTGTAAGGGAACAGGGAACTGAGAAAGAAATGACAAGTGGGAAGAATTGGTAAATTGTATCCATAGTATGGAAGTTGCCACCATACTATGAAGGACAGTTTCCACTTCAAATTAGCCTTTGTATGCTTTTAAATAACAGGACCTTGAGTCACACCTGCTGGTGAATGGCAGAAAATAGTATCCTGAGCACCTGCAGGGCTGCTGCAACTATGGGGGAGGAGTTGGAAAAGAGCTGCTGCTCTTCTCTGGGGAGTTAGAAAAGGAAAGCGGCTTTAATTCGCAATCGGTTCATTCCCCAGCTGGGAACGGGGTAGGGCTATCTGGTTACCAGTGCCTCAGAGCTGCTTTCCCTAGCAGCCAGCTGGATAACAGGCCTGCACATTGCTGGTGTGTTGCTTTCCCTTTTGCATCCTCTTCCCTTGCTTGCCTCTATTTTCTTGCTTCCCTGTACATGCTGCATCTCCCTTGTCCTAAGTGGTTTCTTTGGAGCAAGCCTTGCGTACCACGCATCTGCAGGCAAAGCTCCTACTCAAGAGATGTCATTAATTCTCCTTTCTCCTAATAACGCTCTAGGGACTCTGATGCTGCTGGATCAAACCCTCTTGCCCTTGTCTCAGACCACAGACAGCAGGCAAGGTTTGCAAACTGAGTTAGAAATACAGGAGCTTCTCTCTTTTTTTTTTTAATTAGTACTTCAATCTGTACAAAAAAATATTTTTGTAGTAGAAGCTGACCTCTAGATAGGTCTGTCAGGGGCAACAAGAGCTTCTACCCAGAGGGAAAATGGGACTCTCGTTGCCCTTGCCTGTTAGCTGAAGCCATGTGCAGAACAGCTGAGTGCGTTTGCTCCCTCGCTGTGGTGGTTCATTAGTTACCAAAGCGTGAGAGAGGTGTAGGGGGATGCTTTGATAGGAGGAAATTAAGAACATGCACAACTCTAGAAGTAACAAGAGTTAGGTATAAATTTTATGTTGATTTTTTTTTATTGCTTTTTCACTATGTGAGCTCTCAAATAAAAATCAGGGATGAGACTATTTGACAATAACTCAATGCAAGATGCAAAATTCATTTATTTTCAGTATTTCACACTGTACTGAGGTGCACCAAAACATACCATTGCTTTGTCTGGATTTGGGTGGAAGGACTACGTTCTCTTCAGTCTAGTTTTTAGAAAATGATAGTTACATGTTTAGACATTTATATAGAACTCCCCCTCACAGGCACTGTATGGAGACTGCTTATAGCAGCTAGCTATGACAAAATATGTCACAAGTGAACCTTTGACAGGGATTGTGCTGTCATCTTAGACATGGAGATTACTAATAAGCTTCTCCTGGTTGTATTTTTTTGCAATTTATAGAAAATTGAGCAATAGTACTGTAATGTAATGGAAGAGTATGCCTTCAAGTAGTTTATGGCCATTTGGATGGTGCCAGTTTCCCCACATGTTAAGTTGCCAGGCTTTCCGCATTATAGATGTAGAAGACATGGTTGTTCCCCTTAACTATTCCCTTCACTCATTTGGTGTTTGTGGTAGATACAAGTATTGGAGTCAGTCATCGAAATACCCATTTTCTGCATCAAAGCTATAAACTTTTCTCAACAGCTTCACCTGAAACAAGCTGATTAAGTTGTGAAAACTGTGTGTCTGTGCAAGGGTGCAGAGATTTCTATACCCGTGCTTGCCGTTGGTTTGTTCTCTCTGAACTGAGTCCAAGCCAAGTGTTTAATTCATCTTCCCATTCTCAACGGGTTGTATTGTCATACTTCTTTCTGCTGTTGTCTTTATTCCGTTAAAACCTGGACTCCCTGTCTTCAAACATTGACTTTTCCCACAAAGTAATTTAAGTGAGGTGTATGGGTTTGAATACGAACTGCAGGCCGAAGTGAAAAGAGATTGGTGAAGT